TTGGCCATATTGTAAATTTGCCTTTTACTTTAAAGTATCAACATGACCCTTAATGTGTATAAGAAACATGTACAACAACATACTGCTAACTTTTCTCATCTCATTCATAATTATATTCACATACAAAATTATAAATTGTATACAAAATTATAAATCTTATACAAAATTAACCCTACATTTACATCATTGCATCCTTTTGTTATTCTTATGTATCATGACAGCTTTTGTTATCTCCTGTCTTCGTTCATTTTGATTGTGGCTTACGAGATCGTTTAATATTCGCGATCGATCCCACTCTCTAACAACTTATATTCAAATTGTCAGAACGTTAAGTATTATAAACTACAGCATTCAATCTACGACTTTTAACAATTTTACCACAAACGAATTTTTCTTTCAACTTACAAAATCACCAGTTGCCCCTGTAGAACCGATCGATTCCATCCACATCATCACATACATGCCGCAATCATGTCTGTTACAAAATTTGAAAACCACACATGTCAATTATGATGAATACTGCATAAATTAAGCTTTCTATTTGTGATAACATCTCATACCCATTCAATTGCTTATTCTTCTTATGCTCCACAAATTTGAAATTTTTCAAGGGATACTTTCCTAGAGATCCACAGGATTCAACCCAAATGCGTTTCTTATTATAAGAATCTAATATTTTAATCTGCATTAAAATAGAAGAAGTTATGATCCAAAAAAATTATGCATTATAATTTACATAATGTCCTTTCATACATACATACATACCAATCTCTTAGCATCCTTCACTCTCTGTTTAGCTGCTTCAGTTGTAAACATACTATCATATATTGTTGCAACACGATCTACCATATCCAACACCAACAGATACCAATGTGAATTATGGTAGTTTATTGTGATCATGATCTGCAACAAATTTCACACCCAATTTGACAAAATTCAACATTCTATATCCGAAAACATCATTTGCAATTGGTATGGTGTCTTACCTTCTCACAGTCGGTGAATTTCACATAGTTATTCAGTATTGGACCCCAGAAGGTAGCAATACTCACAACACTTTCTTTGTTGTTGGCATCCAACGCCTGCTGCTGCAATTACGCAACAAACATTATTAATTTACCGTCTATAACACTACTTATCTCCATTTATTAATTTAACTCACCGCTAAGTGGTATGGAAGGTAGCCAATCCTCCGGAGTGACTTCTGAGAATCGTAGCATACTGTCCAGGCGAGCAAATTAATAACCTAACAAAATTAATTACACAATCAGAACATATTCAATAAGTTTTAACATTTTCTACTTTCTACTTACCACACCGCCAACCCATTCCGTAGGCTTCAACGTTGCAACGTCGTATACACTAGCGAATTGATTTCCCATTGAGATTACAGAATATCTGTATGAATCATTAGGATTAATATGTTGTCATGAAATATTTAAATATAACTCACAAAGCAATATATTTCACTTACTCCGATTCTAACTCACTATTCCATAAATAATCACAAATTGCAGTTTCGATGTCATCAATTTCGCTTGGAATATCCGCTTTTTCAACCTATAATTTTACATACAAATTTTTGTCGCAACAACATAATAAAAATCAAATTAAGTTTTCTTTTATTCAACTTACCTTCTGCTTCTTCTTCTGGGGTGCAGGACATTCCGAATCCAAATCTGCTGCTATAACACTCTCCGGTGTATAAATGACATCGACTTCCTTCCTCCTCATTTCTTCCATCTCTTCTTCTTCCTCCTCCCTCTTTTCTTCTTCATATTTTTTCAGTTCATCGTATTTTTTTCCTACATAGCTCTTCATCTCTTTTATTTCACCCTTCAATTGATCTCCTTCATCCAAGTATTTATCAACCACCCCCTTCACCCCCGTAAGTTCACTCCTCAATTCCACAACCTCCTTCACCACTCCCTCAAATTTTTCACCCGTCACCATCTTAATATCACCCCTTAACACCCCAACTTCTTTCACCACTTCACCCCTCAACACCTCTACTTCTTTCACCACTCCATCTATTTTTCCTTCCACTACCCCCTTATGCCTCTCAAGTGTATCTTCGACTCTCTCAAGTTTCTCTTCGACTCTATCAAGTTTCTCTTCGACTCTTGATTGTCTTTGCATGATATCAAATTGGATTTTTTTTATATCAGCCAATTCAGACATCAAAATGTCGAAGTTACTATGTTTTCCCTCACCGTCGTCCCATTCACCGTCATCCCCCAATACAACCATCCCTCCTTTCTTCTCCTCTGCCTCCACTGCCTTCTCTACATCCTTGCCAATAACCTTCAAAATAAAATTACAATATTAAGACATTGATTATATTCTTAATATTATTTAATTACATTTATTACCCTTTCTTGCTTCTTCGCTCTATCCAACTTCAACTTCACCATCACTCTAACCACCTCTTCCTTCCCCCATACACGGATGCGTGCCACTCCGGTTCTTTCATAAGCCGGCACTGCCTCACAGCCCGACCAAAAATCGAACAGTGCAACCTGCATTTATAATAAAATTTATATTTTTATATAAAAACACAAAAAAGTTATTCAACTCATTTACCTCTAAGATAGCTATGCACCCTTTGAGGTATATCTGGCTGCCCTTTTTAAAGGTGATTATTGATTCAATCAATCTCGAATGGATATATTCAGCCCAATTGAATTCACCCTTCAAGCCTTCATCACAAATGAGCTTCATATGTTCCTTGTTTGTTGACGTATTACCCGTTGGACAAAGAAAGATACCGACAAGGTATAATAGAACTCTGGCCTTCAGCTCATCCCCAACGTAAGATCCACTTTTTATTTCCTCTTCAATTTCAGCATATGTCACCTTATGCTTCAAACCATATTTGGAGGCAAGTGCTTTCCAGTCCTTACTCTTACAGACTTCTACAACACTTTTGCTTTCATTTTCTACCTTCAATACGACTGCAGCACATGGGATCCCGAGAGGAAATGAAAAATCACCATACTTAGCAATACATTGTCTGACATCAAATTGCGCCATCAAGGATCGACACAATTCCCTCCAAATAGGTCGATCCATTACTCCTACCAACGATCCAAAACCTATTTCTCCCAGCACATTCAACTGACCCTTCTCCTTAAGGTGTTTAATTAATAAATTCACCCTCTTAATGCTGCATCTTGTCGACACTTCCTACATTTTTTAACAATATATAATGTTATAGTTCTTATATATTTTGTATCAATGTATTTACAAGTTTAATGAATACCTTATTTTCATGTGCTTTCCTCCGTTCTTTGTATTCTTTACTATCATTCATTGACTGTGTGATGTAAGGTTCCTTTTCAGCATCACTCATTGAATTCCATTTGGACCTCACATCTTTTGTCACCTAATATTAAACATAAACGTTTCTTAATCAATACATTAACACTAAATACTACTCAATGTCAATTTCATTTTACATACCGAACCGCTCTGTGTGCCATCTTCCTTCATCCTTTTGCATTCGGCCATACTGTCAACATTTAAATTTGTAATCAATTTAAAATTTATCGATACTTTAATCCAATTACCATTTCAACAATAATAACAAAAAGACATTGATACTTACTAGAAGTACATATATCCACCCTTTGGTTGCTTTCGAGTCTCGGCCTCAATTTCAAAGTCATCTGCTCCACCAACAATTTTCCAACCTATTGACTCCATTTTTCCTTCATATATCATTTTACGCAAATCAAATTATTTTGTTACATACACTTTATTCAATATACAAATATAGATAACTACTCTTGTGGTAAAACGGTTTTCTTCAAAAGAATTTGAATGGTCACACCAAAATGTGTCGGCACATTTATACAACCTATAATATCATTTTCTACCTATAATATTTAATAAAAGTATCGACATTTATATTTTTCCTTGAATATCACTTTCTACATGCAATCGGTCCCAAATGCTTCTTTACTCCAAAACCTCAAACAACACATAAAAACCCTATCGCGATTACTGTAATAATAAAAAATTAGGGTTTCGACAACATACTTTTCGATTCGACTGCAGCAACAAACAAACAAACTTCGCTTTAGAAACGCCTTCTGAAATGCAGCAACAATTACGCTTCGATTTCAAAAACTCGTCCGTTCTATCTATTTTCAGAGGATATTTAGCTTATATTTTCATCGGATATGTTATTTATATTTAATCGATACAAATACAAAAGTGTCGATACTTTTATGTCAGGTGTCGATACTTTCAAAAGGATAATTACCTATTTCTTTGAAAGTGTCGATAATTTATTACACATACTTACGAAAGTATCGACACTTTCAATATATCCGGTATTATTTTACCGGTTTTATCATTTTGATACCTGTTTTATCATATTTTTACCTGTTATATCGTTGTGGATCGATATATTTTTTTAAAGTATTGACACATTATAGGCGCTAAAACTGCTTCTCTTTTAAATTCACAAAGTATCGATCCTTATATAAAGTATCGACACTTTCAATATATCCGCTAACGTTTTACCGGTTTTATCATTTTCTTACCGGTTTTATCATATTTTTACCTGGTATATCGTTTTGGATCGATACATTTTTTAAAAGTATCGACACTTTATAGGACTTAAAACTGCTTCTCTTTTAAATTCACGAAGTGTCGATCCTTATATTAAAGTACCGACACTTTAAATGTATCCGGTAGCGCTTTACCGGTTTTATCATTTCAATACTGGTTTTGTCATAGTTTTACCTATTATATCGTTTTGGATCGACACATTTTTAATTTGGATCGACACGAACCGACAAGTTAAGTTTGCCGGTTGCATAATTTTTTAATATTTCTTCATGACTTAGACCTACTACATTATTATTAGACAACATTTCCGATAACACTAAACCGATTTTATTAAATATCTTTTAATATATCTGATAACGTCATATATTAACCGTATATTAATCCGCCTTTCCTGATACATTCCCTTATCTCCCTCCTTCGATCTATTCTCCCTTTATTCCTCTCCTCCATTTATCTTTCTTTTTCTAGGGGTTTTCCTTCTTTGTTCTAATCAAAGATTTTAAAAATGTCTAGTGCTTTAGAGATGTCGCTAGACGATCTCATCAAGAGCAACCGTAAGTCCGGATCCGGAAACTCCCGCGGTCGAGGCCGTGGATCCGGGCCAGGACCTGCCCGCCGACTTCCTAACCGCAGAGCAAACCGCTCGGCACCTTATACCACAGCTAAGGTAAATAGCTAAGAACATAGATCTGATTGTAACTTTTTGGTTTTTGATTGTACCTTTTTTTATCAATTAAGCGAGTCTTCTTTTGGATTCAGGCACCAGAGACGCCTTGGCAGCACGATATGTATTCGGATAAGGGAGCTGCTTTCCAGCGACAAGCAGGTCGGGCCCCCGCTATTGAAACCGGGACGAAACTCTACATCTCAAATTTAGATTACGGTGTTTCCAACGACGACGTTAAGGTAATTTTATTTTCAAAAAATTTTCTACTATTTTCTAATTTTATTCTTAATATAAGATTTGCTTTTCTGTCTCGATCTGTTATTAATTTAACGGTGGTATTGATTTCGATTTTTTTAAAGATATGCTCATGTTCCTGGTGATTCTTCTGGCTTAGCTGTTTGAAATTTGTTGAAATATCCATTGTATTTATAAAGTTTAGCAATGAATATCAGAGCATGCATAAACTATTTGATAAAGACGGATATTGTGTTGTTGTTAGGTTTTTCTTTTGTTTTTTTACTGATTTTGTGTCTGCATACAGGAATTATTTTCTGAGGTTGGTGACCTGAAACGGTTTACAATCCATTACGACAGGAGTGGAAGATCGAAGGTATCTGATCGATCTTGGCATAAACTGCTCCTTCCGATGAAATTCTTTGTAACATGCAGTAGTTTAGAACAAAAATGCTCTTTTTCTTAGGGAACAGCAGAAGTTGTCTTCTCTCGCCGAACAGATGCTTTGGCTGCAGTCAAAAGATACAACAATGTTCAGCTCGATGGGAAGCCAATGAAAATTGAGATTGTTGGAACAAATATTTCTACTCCTGCTGCACCCCCAGCTTCTAATGACACCTTTGGAAATGCAAAAGGAGCCCCAAGAGGGTATGCCTAACCATATATTTTGCTCAACTCCTTTTTTCTTCAAAAGTTTAGATTCTGTTATTTGTTTCCCTTATGTTTTTGACATTTTACACTTGCAGAGTACATAAAAGTTTTGTCTATATTTTTCAGTTAGGTTGTGTGCTGAACATTTCTAGAGTAGCATGAAATCTCCATGAGATGCTAATCTTAACATTAATTATTGGTTGTACTTTCTCCTTAATTATCAATTTATTTGAAATTTAAGTGTGATAGCCAGAGAAAATAACTGAATGTTTGGCTGCAATGGTCATTCAAAAAATTATCTAATCTGCTATGATGCATGTTCAGACAAGCATCTTGGGTGATTGTGCTGTGTATTCTATGTTTTTACTTAACAGGACATGCTACATTTCATATTTTCATGTGCTTGTTACCTTTCCTTCATAACAAATTGGTATAGCACCGATATGTATGTAGTTATGTTAATGGATCTGTGTGGGAATATATTTCATGTCATTTGTTTCTCTTATTTGTCAACTTCTGGTTTCTCATAGGCTTGACTTATAAATCAAATCTTGTTATGATTATTGTACAGTGGCCAACGCAGGGGATCTGGCCGGCAACGTGGTGGTGTTGGAGGCCGTGGTTTTGGCAGAGGCCGTGGACGGGCAAAGGGCCCTGGAGAAAAGGTTTCTGCAGAAGATCTCGATGCTGATCTAGAGAAGTATCATTCGGAAGCAATGCAGACAAATTGAACCATTTCTCATGTTCTATTGGTCGGTTTTAAGTCTTTTCTACTGTGGACTTTATGTGCTTGACACCTGACAATATTGTGTATCTCTACCAAATTCATACTCTTTAGAGGAACTGATCGTGAAGAGAACTATTAGTTTCTTGATTTATGGAGTTTGGGCTTTTACTACTAGTAGTTCCAAAGAATATGGTTAGTGGAAAGCACTTTGTAGTCTCAAATCTTTTGGTTTCATTGAGACTGCCTCGTCCCACAAGTTGGGCACAAAAGGCAACCTAGGAAACTTTGGCTGCGCTGTTGGAGGACTAATCTTGCTGTTGCCCTGAACTGCATTGCCTTTTGGTTGTTCCTGCATTGCAAAACCAGTGAGATTGCAAGTGAGGTAGATTTCTTTATGTTCTTTCTCTAATGGATCCTGTTTTAGCTGTTTTTATCCTTTGTGCTTCAATTGCTGCAATTGCTTTTCCTGTTTAGGAGTTTATGGTGTTAAATTATGTCATGCTATTATATTATCTGTGAAAGGAATATACTTTCCCCATTTTCTGTCGTGGCTGCTGATGTGGCTTATTTTAGTCAATTGTTGTAGAATCTCTCTGCTTCTGTTAATCCAGTTGGCTTGATGGAGAAAAAAGGAGAGACCAAAGTCTTGTCATCTCGGCATATGACTGCTGCTTTTTGGGGTCAGCTGGAATTTGTAGCCTTCACACCCTTAAACCTCTTTACTACCAAAAGTTTTGGTTCTTTGGTGCAATGCCACAACCCCCTAAATGTAGTTTTGAAGAAAAGCTCAGGCTATCAGGTTGTTTCAAAACTGTGATCTGAGGAAGTCATAGTTTGAATGGTATTAAAACCATTAGGGAGTAGTTAAGGCATGAGCATACACGGTCAAGAGCTAAGATTGAAAAATGTTTGAACTTGCATAATGTTTCATTTCACTCGGTGAGCTTCCTATGTTCTATTGTTTGGAGCAAGTGGTTTTAATTGCACACTAGGGTGAGAGAATGCACCTATTTCCGGTGGTGTTGGTTTGTCTCATGATTGCCAACTTGCCATCGCCTTATGAGCATCAGGTTATGTGCATCAGGCTGGTGAGTTGCCGGTTACCAATCTTTTACTGATTTGCCTAGTTTTGACCTATTGTTGTGCGGTGCTCTTAATCGACTTACATAATTAATGTTATTGAATGCTAATCACAATTTGCTTGCATATGGATTTTCTTTGTTGCCATTTTGTAAATGCCGCTCATTCCTTTTTGTTTATTTTGGAGTTAAATTTATTGCTTTTGGATATGAGTTGGTGTTCAACATCTGGGAAGCACCGCCCCCCCCCCCTGAAGCAACCATTATATCCTTGTTTGCCAATAATTATATATATATATAATAATAATAATAATAATAATAATAATAATAATAGTCGGGGAGGAACTAGGCTCTAAATCTGGATAAAGTGGTGGATGCTAATCACTAGGCTAGAACTGCTATTGCCAATAATTTTAACTTGTAGGAGCTTAAGTTTGCTGAATTGAATAGTGTTGTCCATTTGGATCAGATTCGGTTAGAAAAAGTTTTAGGTTTGTCTATCCTTTTTATTCGAATTGAGTTGGTGTATTATACGTTTTTGAAATATAAACATATTTAATAATATTAAATAATGAAAGTGATTTTTGTTGAGTTTATATTATTTTTGTAGATGTATTTTAGAACTGAAAAAATAAATTTTTATATTAATTAAATTAGCGTAATACTAAAATCAGTCCCCAACGTTTATCAAAATATTTATTGTCCTATATTCTATTTTTTGAAATATTTTGACAAACGTTTTATTTTATGACAGAAAAGCTTGTAACATTTAATAGATGAATTATTGTCATTATTTTTTGAGACATTTTGACTCGATGTTTTATTTTAGGTTAAAAAAGATTTTTAATTTAATGCGTTGTGTTTTAACTAATGATTTTGATCATAGAGGTTAAAGATCATCTTGATAAGGTTTGGAGGTTATTTTTCTATAATGCCTAGTAAATTTTGATTTGTTGAACTACTTTTGAAATGCCGAAAAGCAAAGTATTATCGTTAAAATTGTTTCTTAATAATATTGATGATAAATTTTTTGAACCTCTATAACAACCATTTTAAATATTTTTAAGTAATTAAATTTTAGAATATTTCAATGATAAATTTTTAAAATTTTGATAATATCATTTTAAATATTTTTAAAAATTGAATTTGATAATATATACCTAAAAATATTTGATTGACGGCCTTTTTAATATATATTATTATAATGGTAAATTTTAAATAATAATAATAAGTTAGTGAAGAAATTTTATTTTAAAAAAACAATAAGAGATCATTTTTTAAAGGAAAATTATCACTTTTGTAAATCAGAGGGCTGTTCCGAAAGAAATTCACTAAAAAGAGTCTGCTAAAAAACTAATGAAAATTATTAAAATCATTGAATAACGCCGTTATTTGAATTTTCGAAAGAAAAAAAACTAAATCAATGTTCACATACATTAGGGATGCCATATGGAATATGGTTACATTTTTTTTAATCCAATTTTCAGTATAAATTTAATGACATTCATGTGTGTTTCAAATACATAAGGCATAAGTGAATTCGATACATGAATGATGATTACTTAAACTAATGAACATGATCTTAATTCATAACCCATGAAATCAATCATATTTGAAAAGCTAATGCATAATTTATTAGTATTAGCAGTCTTTGGCATCTGGGCGATGGTTAGGCCCTTTCGGCTGTCTAAGCTTCCCCCAACTAGAAAAGACAAACCTCAACAGGCAACAAAACAAAACCTTGATGTAATACGTTATGAAGTACCAACATGAAGAAGGCCAATACCAGGGATATAATAGTCTAAAGAACAAACTTATAAGTTGTCGAGGGTATCGTCCGACCTGCGCAATTCAACCATCCATAATGACCCACAGGAAACATAGTTCATCCAATCAGCTAGGATTACCTTTCATTTAACAAAACAATAATTCTATATGAACTTTAAAATCAAATCAAGTCCAATTAGATTGGTATTTGCAGTTAAAAAATCATGTACTCACGGGAAAAAGCAAATCTAGGGCATCCCGAGCTGCATGACGCACAGCCCTTGTAGGATACATGGGGCCACCAGGTGATGTCAAGCTATATAAACATGTTTTCAACCTCGTACTCGTTGCAATCCTCAGTTCCATACCTGCAGGAATAGTGAATCCTTCAGGTTCATTTTCAAGCAGCTGCATGTGTCACGTGCCAAGACTTTAGCTCCGCTAAAGTGCACATTCGGGCCATGGCACGTACACCTCTAACTCTTGAAGGGGTTGATAGTAATACCTCGAAGAACTTCAATCTGACCAAGATAATGCAATAGGACAGGCTCCACTTTTAATTTTTGAAGCTGGCGCAAGAAAATTATCATTAATGTCAACTATAAAACAAGACATTGCAATTTGTAGTATCCAATATGAAAATATCATGTAAGATCACCTGATCTGCTAGTTCAATAATAAGTATATCTGCTGGTCCACCAACCAGTGAAGCATTTGGAAATGTGGGACATAGCTTTAAGAAGCTTTCGAGTTTTTCAACTGCATAGAGTAAAACATTATAAAAGGAATATCCATTTGTATGTACATTATCGTTCAAAATCAAGGTTTCAAAGGGAAAAAAGACGAATCCAACCTGAGTTGTAAAAGAATATGACCCTTGACATTAAAAGGTACAGATCCCTCCGGGCCTGAAAAGTACAACATATTTTTGAAGGTAAACAACGACAATATGAAGGGTCTAAACTATAAAGCAAAAATAGCTGACCTGTATTGGAATTTTATTTAACCGTGTAGGCTCCAATGCAACTTCATTGAGAAGGTACTGAGTCCATAGAAGAATGAAAGTTCAACAATTAGATACTTCAAAAAGAATGATAAAAGCACAAATTCATTTCAAATGATGATACGTGTCTTTTAAGTTTACCCGAAAGAGAGACTGGAAAAACCTCGTATTTGATTGGATGTCAATCCTGCATAAAACCATAAAATTAAACGAACCTATAGGACATAATCAAGCAGAGAGTTATGCCACTATTTTCGTCAAGCATGACCCTATATAACAATCGCAACTTCAAAAGCTAAAGGTAAGCATGCTCAGTTTTTCCAAGTTTTCTCGTGTATTTTGAGGATCTTTGAAAAGTTATATCCCACTCGTGTTAAGATATGAGTTGGACTAGGATATTTCAAGAAAAAATAGTTGGAAACTAGTTTGGTAACCGAACAAAAGAAAATTCCCCCTCAAGCATTATAAATTTAAATTCCTACCAGAAAACATTTGTTGCACCCTGAACAAGTGCAGAGGCATAACGAAGTTGGATATCTGCATCATCCAGTTGAACTTCCGATAACTGCAGAAAATGAAAATGCAAAGCATTTACAATTCAATATAAAGGACTTCACCAAAAAAAAATCAAGATCCCTCACTGGTGAAAACAACATCTGTTCAGTCTCTAATGCGAAGATATCTGAATTAGTATAAGAGAAGCAATAGTTTCTACTACTGAGCACCGTCACATATGAAAAATATAACAAAAGGTCTTAACCACTCTTTTAGTGTCCAGTTTTATCCAGCGAACCTTGATTTCTGCAATTATGTATCACTATTTATAAGAGACTGTAAATGGAAAGTGCGCTTAAATAGGGAATAAAACCAAAAATAAAAGTATGATCAATTTATAGGAGTAAATTTTTCTTGGCCAAAAAAAAGTGTTTCCAACTTGTCAGATCTGTTTGTTACTTTTTTACTTTAACCGGTTCGGAACACTCAAAATTACTACATAGCGGAGCTATCAATACCAACTATTTGTTCACTTAACAACACAAAAATTAAACAGCATCAACAGCCAAGCAAATGCCCTTCACAAAAACTACCATCATAAAAGCAATCTTTCAGGAAACTTGAGTAGTTGAGTTCCATTAAATGATTCATCAATTTGGAGATCAGGAAAGTTGATCAGTTCAGAAATGATTCATATGATCTAAACTTCAAATTGGAACGGCGAAAGAAATTTGAACTTATGAGTTATGATGAGTTTGCTTATGCTTACCCAATTATGGAATAAGAGGGCAAAAATGTGAGATGCAAATGACTGGCTCCACAGTTGAACAATCAAATCAAGGATAGGCTTTCCACGAGGGGGTACTTGAACATAATAATCAGCAAGAACATCATAAAAGTATAACCGACCATTAACGCCGTTAGCCGCGGAAGATATTTGATCTTCTCTGCTTAGAATTATATCTGTTTACAATTTCAATACAAAACAATATGAAAATCTTCAAGTGTGAGTCAATCGTATTCGTCATCTGGACCAATTGAAAGGTGCAAGAATTTGAACACTAGATTGTCTAAACTTAATTATAGTCTAAACTTAATTTGATGTAAATTTTAAAAAGGAAGAGATGACGTATGTAAGCTTACCTTTGGCTCGATCATCGATTTCCAAAGCTATATCTGCAAATAGTTCTTTTAACAAGTTGCGTCTCTGAGATGAAGACGATAATGCCTGCAACAAATTTGAATATAAATCGATCAAAAAGCTCTAAACAGTAAGGGAAAAAAAACAGGAAAACCGCTTTTATTAATTGAATACAAGCATTAGCAGTATTAACAATAGCTTTGCAGACATCTGTCAAATTCAACAATAGAAAAAAATGTACACGTAATCATTTCCACTTTCAGGAAAAAATAGAAGAAAAAATTCTTTGAAAGGAAAGCAAGAAATTAAAAAAAAACTAAAATCGTTTTGTTGTTCCACACATTTTCGCGAGAAACAAACAGGAAAGCGAAAAGGATACGAGAAAACGAACCCGTTGAAGCTTTTTCTCGATTTCTAGTGAGAGCGCGTTAAGATAAGCGGAGCTTCGGGGTCTGGAGGAAGCTTCTACTCGCTGCTGCATTTCTGTGTTAAGATCTTGACAGCATAAAGCATAAAAACAAAAACAAGGATCGATCTGTGAATTGGGAGAGAAGGAATTTGAATTTTGAATTTGATCCAATAAAAAACCTACAAACTCAGAGCAAAAGCGTTTGTATTATCTCCTAAAGAGATGTTTATCTATGTTAAATGCAAGGCTGTAGCCATTTGGCGTTTTCATCGACGGACAGAGAGCAGAAAAAGCAGTGGATTTAGACAAATATATAATAATTGTTAAATGATAAGAGGGATGAAGCAAAGGTTGATCTGGCGTGGCAGAGAAGCAAGAGCCAGGACCGGAGTTGAGCTGAGAGGAAGCGAGAGCCTGAGTGGCTGGTGACAAGGATTTTGTTGTCGTGATGCGGTGCGTTTTCTGTTTTTTTCTTGGAAGGGGAGAGTGGATAAACAGATGGCGCCAAATTTATTATTTACTATTTATTTTCTATTTTTCAAACTCATGGGCCACGTGTTATTCTATCCCTTCATTTCCCTTTTTCTTTTTCTTTTGAATGATTATTTTGTTTAGGGTAAAGTATATAAATAGTCTCTGAACTTTTAGAGAACTTGTATTTTGGTCACCCAACTTTAGAAACTTATAATACAATCATCAAACTTTCAGTTTGTTTTCACTTTGGTCCCTATTGTTACCTCCCATTAGTTTTTGCTGACGTGACACTTAAACCTGTTAAATTTTCTGACGTGGTAGCTTCTTCTTCATCCTCTTCTTCTTCTTCTTTCTTTCATTTTCTTCTTCAAACAATCATCTTTAGCTTCAAACCCGATTCCAAAATCGCCCCAACATGTAGGAGGGATGGGAGATAGTAATTACCAAGCTGCAAAGACGTCAATGTTAGGTTTGAAGCACAACGAAGGCGTTGAAGGAGGTTGAAGGTAACAACTTCTTATTCTTCCACATTCAGCTTTTTTTATGTGATAATTACGAGTATTTGATTTATCTCCCATGAAAAGGTGTTTTAGGTAGTGCAATATCTTTACTAGTTTAATAAATTTGTTATTCTTATGGATGGTTAAATTAGGTAATTGAATTGACTTAGCCTTGCAATTCCCTTTGGCGAATGGCCTTCATTGTTTAATATGGGTATTATAGATGGTTTTCATTGAAATTTTTAGGCTTTATTCTACAAAAATTTTAACTAATAGCTTAATACATGTTTTTCAACAAAAACAATGTTAGCTTCTTCTATTTAGTAGAGGAGTTTGATATCTTTGAATAATTTTAGCTATTTTTCTTCGAGTACCCGACCCAGTAGCAAGGTTGTGAAACTAACAGTGTTTTTCATGATCTATTGCACTTATTGTATTTTGATCTTCTTGGTTATTTGGTAATTTTGTGGTTGAAGTGGCTATTTTCAAAGTTTATGGGTTCCAAGGAGGTATTTCAATGAGCTCATCAATGGCGAATTTGGCTTTTTTGATAATCAATCCATAGATTTACTAGGGCGATCGTAGCCGAGTCGGTCCTGGACATCGTAGAATTGGATGGGGGTTGCACCAAGAGACGAACACGACGGTCTCAAGGACCTCAACGATCTCACCCCCATCGTGCTTCAAACCCAACCTCAACGTCTTTGCAGCTTGGTAATTACTATCCCCATCCCTCCAACATGTTGGGTCGATTTTGGAATCGGGTTTGAAGCTGAAGATGATTGCTTTGAAGAAGAAGAAGAAAGAAGGAAGAAAAAGAAAAAAAACAGAAGAAAGAATGAAGAAAAAGAAAAAACAGAAGAAGAGGAAGAAGCTGTCACGTCAGAAAAGTTAACGGGGTTAAGCGTCACGTCAGTAAAAATTAACGGTAGAGACCAAAATGAAAATGAACTAAAAGTTTGATGATTGTATTGCAAGTTTCAAAAGTTGAGTGACCAAAATGCAAGCGCCCTAAAAGTTGAAGGACTATTTATATACCTTACCCTTTTGTTTATCCAAATTTTAAAAGTTAAAAAATAATGATACAAAAGTTGTAGTGAAGTGGAGTGTTTTAGAGTTTACGCCAACTTAATGTTGAATTAAATATTTGTTAACAATAATTGGAAACACAACTGAACGAAAGAAGACCGACGACCGAAGATCGAAGAGTGTTTTAGAGGTAACGCCATCTTAATGCGGGTACTTGGCGTTGAATCCAGCATTTATCTTATTTTCTTCGGTCGGTGGGGCACATTAAATTTTGTACGATTAAATAGGATTATTTTTAGTCCACTTTCAGTTAATAATGTGCAATGAAGAGTTAGGCTTTGACAATTGGTTTCAAGATTTTCTATATTATAATTGTTTAAAAAAAATCAAATTTATTAAAATTTTAAGATGTACGTATAAATACATATGATAGTGGATTCGTTAAGTCGATTTTTGTGTGAATATCATCCTACATTCCTACTCAAAAAAATATATATCATTCATTTGAATTCGATCAACTTAAAAAATATACTCTCCACCCGACCATACATAAAGAGCATATTTTTCTACCCGAATATAATTAAACCTGAATTTTTGGAGCATAACTCGATCCGTCCTAGTTTGACGTAAAACAAGGATCTAATTAGAAAAACTATAAAGAGAAAGAGTATTATAGCAAACAAATTTATATATAAAAGCTACACTGTAATTCGAGTCAGGTTAGGTCAGATGTCTTTCATTATCTACCCGAACTCAAAAATCTTTATTTTTATTTAATAAAATAGAAATCTAATTAAAATAAAAAAAATTATAACCGTAGTTATATCAAAATTTATATAAAAAAAACTATTATTATTACTAATAGAATCGATAAAATTTAATCTTAAATTCAAATCTAATCTAATTTGAACTTGTATTTTAAAAAATCAAACATTATAAACTTGAGTCAAAATTCACCTAATCAAAATCCATGGCAATCATAATAAATAATGTTCCCAAAGATTCAATTAATCCAATCAAAATGTGTCGGAGTCAAAGGTGGTTTACCTTCTCTCTATGACGAATCAATGTGGAACGCCCATTTCAATTTTAATGCCCAATACAGAATAGTTTGACAAACCATCCGAGTTCAGTTAATTCTCAATAAAATAATTGTTGTTATCTGACGCCGAACAGAATAGCGATTATCTTACAGGCTAGTTCCAACAGATGAATCACAGGAGAAAATTCTCCCAAAAACCAGAGAAAAAGTCTCTAGGGTTTAACAGAATATTATAAAATCAAACAATGCCCAAAAATCAATCCACAAGCCGGATTGTTATAGCTAAAAATCGTGTTTATCCAAATTTTGTCAAAAATAGCAAAATCCCGAAAATTACTCTAAATTGAAATTCGAAATAAAATAAGCGATTTGCAAAAAATCCGACCCAAATCGAGTTTAAATTGACTTCTTAAATGACAAGCGAAATATTACCATAAATAGTAAAAAATAGATAAAACTAGTGATTCAGAGGGGAAAACAACAAAATTTAAGGTCGAAAAAAAGCCACATGGAGCCATGCTCATGTGGACAGCATGTGCGTCGAAAGGGGCTTTCCGAATTGGGGTCTTATGGGCGATTCCGACACCCGTAGCCAAAGTTATGGCTAAAAGACTAAAACGCACTCAACGGCTCTAATAAGGAACATATCACAATCAACTCCCGCCTTTGCGATGATCTGCCAACTCATGGTATCTTAGCGCCATCAAGGTGCAATCTGACAGCTCAGCATCATCTGTCTCGGATCCCCCTGCATCATTATCTTTAAAGGTTTTAGATTCGAGTAACAGTGACTATAAAATATTTTAACGTTAATTATCAAATGATTGAAAATCTTTAAAACAAATACTACCACTTGTAAGCACCCTAGATTAATACTAATAATAAAAAAACCATCCAAGTTCAGTTAATTCAAATACTAATTTTAGTGCTACCAAAAGAATTATTAATTTTAGTTATGTTAAAAAAACATTAATTTTAGTTGGTAGAATAAGATAAAATGTTAGATACTAAACTTTTAAATATTAAAAAAAATTGTTTAAAATATAAAATAAAGTGAATAGTTAAAACACTAATAGAATCTAACATGCATAAACATCATATAAAAGTAATAGCAATGAAATTGATATATTTAGATAATATTTGTTCTAGCCTACTATTTTTTTTTTGTCTCTACCACATTTCCCACCACAGATTATATATTTCAATGCATTACCTACCTGCATGTAGAGACGAAGCACCGCTTGCAACAGATCATAACATTTCTTGTGACCCAGCTGCCGACTCTCCTCTTGCATTAATCTCTTCTTTCTCTCCATTCCTCCGCTGCATATATGCACACAAGTATTGATCGTGAACACGAAAGAATCATTTTCAATCTTTGGTCACCCAAACAACTTTAAATTCATTAATACAAAGTTCACATATGAAATTTTATGATAAAATACTGCAAATACACCCTACCAATTATTGTTTAATTGCGTTTCACATCTAACACAATGTGTTCCGGTTTTAATGTTGTTGAAATCCTAATAAACTCCTCCCGGATATAATCGACTTTATTGACCGAAACTTTGGCCATAGTCATAAAACTGGAAACAGATACGCCGTGGCGTTTGGCCATGTCCAAGGCAAAATGTGATACGTAACTGGATCATGGTGGCGGTGAGATGTGTATTGTTTGCTACATAGAATTTCAATGAGCAGCGTACTGTTGAGTTTGACGCGAAGCTACATGAATCGCCGGAATTTCTGTCGATATAAATCCCACTATTGTAATTTGAAAGAAAAAGGGAGTCACCGCCAAAATATTTTAGCTTTGTTTTCCAGAAATTGGGTTGTTTATAAAAGGACTAGTCCGAGTTGGAGTTGGTAATCCATACCACAACGTATAAGGAAAGAATACCTCCCACGCTTCTCAACCTAGGCAAAATTCTGGAATGAACATCGTACACTGAAACACATCATTAATACGATATACTGATGCATACTATTAATTAAATTGTCTTTATTAAATAAATATGAAAAAAAAATATAATGACCTATTCACAAATAATCTTTTATTATATTTTAATGAATATAATTATATTATATTTTTAATTAAAATTATAATTATTGTAAGGACTTTTATTTGTTTAGAATTGG